GCCCCGGGGCCGCCCACGCCCGCCCCAGGCTGGGCAAGCGCATCAAGAGTGAGATCCACAGCCGCATGCTGACGCTGGTTTTCACGCTGCTGGCGATCCTGGTGTCAGCCGCGGGCTTCTTCTACGAGGTTGAGACGACGTATGGTGACAGGTGCGCGGCCTAAAACGGCTTTGTTTTTCCCTGTGCACCCTGCGCCAGGCGCGCGGCCCCGCCGACACGCACGCGGCCCGTGCCTGGCGTGACGCGCGGCGGCGGCGTGCGTCCGCATGCGCCGCAGCACGCGCGGCAGAGCCCGCTCTCTGCGCCGCAGGTGTGTTCACAATGCGCGCCGGCACACCCCCTTGCCTTGCGATCACCCCGTTAAGCGAGCGCCCCCACCGCATGACTGCACTGCTCTTCTTGTCATGTCGCTTGATAAGTCAAAGGGAATGGCCAGAGTTGGACACGGACGCCGCTCATGATATGGTGTCAAACTCACACGATGCAACGCGGCAGGTACCCAGATCTTACGTTTGCCCAGTCCCTCTACTGGTCTGCCGTCACAGTCACCACCATCGGTGCGCAAGAACACGGGTCGTGAAAAACCCAGCCGCCAAAATCTACCCGGTCCTCGGTCCTTGTGTCCTGGTTCCAGCATACAAAGCGCCTGCGCTTGGCAGAGGGCAGCGGCGATCGTCCGCGACTCGGCCACTCAACTCCGCCGCATCACGCCTCGCGACAAACGCAGGCTACGGGGACTTCTCCCCCTCGCTTCTTGCGAGCCAGATGGCGCTATTTGCGATGCTCATCGTGACCTTCACGCTGCTGCCCTTCCAGTCCAGTGCGCTGGTGACAGCTCTCAGCCTCAGCAGCCCCTACCAGCGCGCCCGCTACTCCCAGGTGTGCATGTGTGCGTGTATTTGGGGGCCGTGTTTTGCGTGTATGTGTCTGCGAGGAGGGGGACGGGGGCAGGTGCGAACTGAGAAACTATGTTGACACATGAGTCATGGCGATGCTGCTGCTACCACTGCTGCTGCTGCTGCTGCTGGTGATGCTGCTGCTGCTGCTGCTGCTGCTGCCGCCACCGCTCTCGCTTTCGGAGCAGCTGCCATCGTCTGGCTGTGCTATCCGCGTCCAATCTCTGGCATCACGGCTTGCAACATCTCCCCCATTAACAGCCGTATGGAAGTAGCAGTTTGAAATGAGACGTCCCCGCACCCCATTGTCCCCCGCCAACCCCCCCTCCCCCCGCCCGGACTGCCAGTCCAAGCGGGGCCGCCACGTGGTGGTCGCGGGCCACCTGGACTGTGCGGTGGTGGAGCTGCTGGTCTGCGAGCTGTACGCGGCGGACTACGGTGAGCGCCCGGTGGGGCCGTTGAATTTCGCCCTCGCTGGATTCAAGGATTGAAAAACAAACACTGTGTGTGTGTGTTTGTGTGTTTGTGTGTTCTGGTTGCAAGATCTGGTTGTGCTGCTGTGATCTAGTTCGCGGTGACCCAGCGTGTCGACAAACTCCTCAGGAGCTCATCTGAGCCCCACCCTGCTGCTCTGGGGTCCCGCCATTGTCAGCCATGAAAAAATGGGTTGCCAAAAATCCACGAATCCGTCCACCCACCGATTCACTCACCAACCAACGCGGCCGCCGGCCTCAACCCGGCCTGGATGCGTGACGCGCCGCCAACCCCGCCAACCAACCACCACCCAAGCAACCACAACACCTTCGACAATCACACTGGCAATCACACTGCTACTTAAGGACCCTAATATCCCCGATACTCACACGTTACCCTCCAACAACCATGATTCCTGTAATGACCCCCGATGATGACGTCATTCCCCGTTCCAACCGCCCCAACCCAGGCTTCCAGGACTTCAACCTCGTGCTGCTCACCGACGCGGCCCCCGGCGACGCCATGCAGCGGCTGCTCAAGACGCACCCGCAGGCCCACAGGCTCATGTACGTGCAGGGCTGCCCCCTCAACGACGAGGTGCGGCTGGGGGTGCGTCCTGACAAGACTGGTTCAGGGTTTAGGAATGAGGGTTCTCCGTGCCGCGCGACGCCGCACGTGCTGTCGAGCGGCGCACGCGGCGGAGGGGCCGACACCCTGGGCGTGTGCGGCGCTCGTGCCTGCGAGGCTGTGCCGCGGGCGCCCGGGAGCGACCCCGGCCCCTTGACCTTTCATATGGGCTGCGAGGAGCGCCTCGGAGCCGCCCCCGATGCACTCGCACGGGCTGTCGCATCCCTGTACCGAATCACCACTTTGTATCAATAATAAAAAAAATAATAAAATATGATAATAAAAAAAATAAAAAGAAATAAAATAAAAAATAAATGTAAAAAAAAAAAGTAAAAAAAAAAATCATCGAGCTGCAGCACATAGATGCACGAAGCTCGTGGTGAATCTGCATTGCGTTGCACCGTTGTCGGCCACGCCTCGGCCGCGCCGTCCCCCCCTGGCGCCCTGACTCATGACCCCTCGCCTCCCGCCCCTCGTCCCCGCAGGACCTCTCGAGGGTGCAGCTGCAGGCCGCGGACGCCCTCTTTATTATGTGCGACAAGCGCCCCGCCAGCGCGGCGGCCGAGGACGCGCGCAACGTGGCGATCCTTGTCGCGGCCGCGCACTACCTCCTCCGCGCCGCGCGCCGCGCCGCGT